TGTATAGACCTATTAAGTACTGATACAAAAAATTAGATTTGTCACTTCAACGGTTTTTTGAGCATTTGGCATCAAAGATCGTAGACAAAAATGCACTGAAAAATCCACGATTTTGCAAGATTGGGACTAAATATTGATAAAAAATAACAAATAATTTCACTATTTGAATCAGGGAATGTTGTTATTTTGTTTTATCAAAATGAAATAAAATGTAGAAATTATAAGTAAACTTCAAATTGAAAATCTGCACCCCCCCATAATCACTGACGACTTTGAAATGCTGTTTTTTACCTCGTGAATTAAGCAGTATTAGTTGAATACATTAAAAAATTGATTTTTTTTCTGTTTTGAATGAAAATACAACAAACAAATGTGGAAAAATAAAAAATATTTTAATAGGGCTTAACATAGAGATTCATATAGTTCCATATAAGAACCCTCAGACGAAATTGATGGTCTCAATTTCTGACACGTTTTTCTATTATGTGCTGGTGCCTTGCTTCAAAGCCATACACAGATTGGGAAACTTCTGTTGTTAACTTGACTGCCCGTTCCATGCCTTGAGAATGGGAGGGCAAATCTGGCAAGTCAAGCTTCGTACCATTTAATAATCATTCCCGAAGTTCATTTTCAGAAAATTCTTCTATAGTGGTGGTTCCTAAACTCCACTTAATGACAGATCTACTGTGTCCAGTGCATAGCTTTAAAATTGATAGTTGTGATTCTTTTTAATCTTTTCCTGGTTTGAGAAACTCTTGAAAGAAAAATTAATTTATTTTAAAAAAATACACTCTGTGCTGCTTTAATATTTAATAAAGTTTTGAAGAAAAATATTTTTGTGGTCATTTGTGACGTTATTTTGCAACTTTCCCCCGCGTTATTATTTTTATGGTTCCAAAATCGACCTAACCTAATATATATATATATATATATATATATATATATATATATATATATATATATATATAGAGATTGTCTTCTGACGACGTATCTAAAGTGTCAGTTTATCTAAACATGAATTATTAACCCACCTACTCACAAGCTCTGACCTTATTTAACTTTCAAATGAGGTAATTCTAGTTTCTCAAATAAATCATTTTCATCATATGTTATTTGTCATTGCCTAAAGAAGGAAATTATAGTTCCAAACCATGAAAGTTTTGCGTAACGATGTTGAATATAATTCGGATCAAATATGGATTAAAATCAAAAGAATGATAGAATAAGAAAGAAAATAGGAAAAGTTTATATGTTTGTCTTTTATTTATCTAAAATTTATTTATTTATTAAAAATTTCAAATGAGGTTAAAATAAAAGCGAGTCATGTTAAATATATAAACAATTCCTATTTGTGCCTTATCCTAACTTATATGTAGATATATGGATTTTTATTTATGCTATCATATATATACACACACACACATGCATACATATATATATATATATATATATATATATTCCTCAGTTCAGATTAACGATCTATCTATATTTATCTTAGTTTATCACATGCATCTCTCTCTGTACAGTTTTATCTATCTATCTATCTATCTATCTATCTATCTCTCTCTCTCTCTCTCTCTCTCTATATATATATATATATATATATATATATATATATATATATATATATATAAAAAAAAGAGGTTGTAGTGGTTCCAACGAGAGAAAAGTATGTATATTAAAAAGAAGAGAAGAGAGGTGCCGCAAACGTTTTTGGTTGTAATGTGGCATTTTTTAGAAAAAAATATTACGCTTTATTTTCCATAATTTTACTACATGTGTTTCTGGTATCGTGACCGTCTTCAGGTAAAAGCGGAGATTTCCACATATTATTAAAAATAATTAATTTTTTCCTTATGTTTTTCAATGTTAAATATTCTCGATATGAGACATTTTCTGTGTTAGTAATCCGAATTTCTTTCTTGAATTGGCAATGAAGAGTTCTGCGCGAAGGGTCATAAAACAATTAAGGTTTGTCCAAGAGAAATGATGAATTATTTCATAAAAATAAGAACTTGTGACAGAAGGTCGAAATGGGAAGATGGCTGTCTTCATTAGCTATCCTAGACCTAGTTAATCAGAATCACGACCCATTCATTCATTACATTTTCCCCATTCTCCACAAGAGCTCATCCATCACCACTCAATCCTGCATATACCATAATAGCGCACATTCGCAGGTGATCTACAGAACATCCCATGATGTAAAGATTTCATTTTATTGTCCATAAAGTTCGTTTAAATGACATTTTCATGATTTATGAATTGATGACGTAGGAGGATGAAATCAGAAAACAACCTAAAATTGAAACACAAAGATAAAACAAAACAATATTACTAGGAGCCTTTCATTCCTCAAAATAATAAGAGGGACCGCTGTATTCTGTCGATAGACAAAATAAAGAAGCACACTCAATAATGGAATGGAATCATAATAATATAATTGTATATATAATTATATATATATATATATATATATATATATATATATATATATATATATATACAGTGCTGATCGGTAAAATAAAAGTGACTCACCTGATTTTTTTTACTAAAAATATTTTTTGGTCTATTCCTTTGGGGGTTAAAATAATTTTTAATCTTACTAATAAAAGACCCCTTCCCGACCACCTAGTAAAAATGTTTACTCACCCTAAGGTATTCTATTGATGATTATAAATTCGGATATAAATGAGATTCAGGAAAAAACTCTGTGTAAAAAAAAGTGACTCAGATATCGCATTCGAATGATTAAACTGGTAAATTTAAAGAGCTTTTGACAAAATATTGAAAACTATTTTACAATACACTCAGAATAATATTCTAGAGAATACTAGAACGGCTTAAATTAAATCTAGAGTATTATAGAATATGGCAGAAAGCCTCATACAGTATAAAAACAGCCTGAAATAGCCACTCAGACCCACTTAAGGCAATTATTATTGCCCTCTCAAAAGCAGGCAAATCTACAAGAGAAATTGCGGAAATTGCTATAACCTCGCAATCAACTTTCTCTCGAGTGCTTAGAGCACATAATGATGTCACTCCTGCTCCAAGGAAGGAAACAAGTAGACGAAAGAAAAAGATTGATGATAGAACTGGCAGGGTAATCAAGAAAGAAGTTGCAAAGAATAGGACTATAACTAGCCAAGAAATTGCAGCCAGTCTAAGCGAAGAGCAAGGTGTTAATCTTGCCTCTTCAACAGTCCGTCGGTGGCTGTGAGAACAAGGTTAAAAATCTTGTACACGAAAGTTTAAGCCGCTAATAAGCAAAGCCAACAAAGCCAAGAGACTTGAATGGGCTCACTATTACAAAAATTTCACCGTAGAAGACCGGAAGAATGTTCTCTTCTGTGATGAAATGAAAGTTGAGATAAATTCAAAGGATAAGCGATCTAAAATCCAAAGAAGAATCTTTGAAAGCTCTTTGAATTTAGCAGTAAGTATTGTCAATCATCCGTTCAGTATAATGTTCTGGGGATGCTTTTCTTTTCATGGAACTGGTTTCTTAAAACCTATTGAAAAGACCCTCAGGAGCGAGCAGTACAAGAGAATTTTAGAGTCTTGTGTGCTCCCTTCTGCTGAAAGGGTGCAAATCGACCGCACTAAGCTCATTTTTAAGCAGGATAATGCTCCCTGTCACAAATCAAAATTGATGAAGGAATACTTTGATGAGATGCAGGTGAGTGTTATGACGTGGCCACCCCAATCTCCTGACCTCAACCCCATAGAAAACTTATGGAGCATTATAAATTAAAGGCCCTCGAGAAAGTAGTTGAGCAACAAAGAGGATTTGATTGTGAATTTCATATCCGAATGAAATTCAATGCTTGGAGATGAGATTTGCCAGAACCTAATCAAATCAATTTCAAAAAGGTTCGAAAAGATTATTTAAGATAAAGGAGGACCCATAGATTATTAAATATTTCGAACTATATTACCTACTATAAATAAATTATACATCTATTATTCTTTATTTAAAGCTGTTCGGTTATGTTTCTATTGATTACTAGTTGCAGAAAATAAGTGAGTCACTTTTTCGCACAGAGTTTTTTTTCCCTAAATTTCATTTATATCCAAAATTATAATTATCAATAGAATACCTTAGGGTGAGTAAAATTTTCCTAGGTGGTCGGGAAGGGGTAAATTATGAGTCAGATTAAAAATTAGTTTGACCCCAAAAACAATAAGTGAAAAGATTTTTAAGAAAAAAATCAGGTGAGTCACTTTTATCGAACAGCACTGTTATATGTATATATATATATACATGTATACATACATATTTCTCTCTCTCTGTATCTGTCTCCATCTCTCTCTCTCTCTCTCTCTCTCTCTCTACATATATATATATATATATATATATATATATATAATTATATCTATCTATCTATCTATCTATCTATCTATCTATCTATCTATCTATATATATATATATATATATATATATATGTGTGTGTGTGTGTGTGTGTGTGTGTGTGTGTGTGTGTGTTAATTATTTGAAATTTATATGAAATTACATTTTCCCACATATATATTAACATGATTTCATACGCATCTGTATACGGCTAAACGTACATTAATTTGCTTTTATATATATATATATATATATATATATATATATATATATATATATATATATATATGTAGGTGCACACATAGGTTTCTCAATTCAGAGACACAAGAGCACACAGATATAAGTATATGTATGTATGCATAGAAAGCAAAATATATATATATATATATATATATATATATATATATATATATATATATATACATACAGAATTGAAATATCAGCATGCACATGTGTATGTGTGTTTTATGTACGTATTTCTTTGTGCCATTCCAGCGCCTGTCGTCGCCATTTTTAATCTAACCACTTAACCATTCTGCGTCATAAAGTGCGCTTATATTCCTATAGATTCCAGCAAATGTCTTTTAACGGGCATTGTGCACCTCACTCAAAGCAGAACAAACAACAGACATGCTTGAGTGCTCCCTTAACCTTTTTTCTTTTTTAGCGAGGCTTCCCCCGTAAAATAGAGGGTGAGGGTGGGAAGAACCGAGATGAGGCAACGATTACTAAGAAAAAGGGGAAATATAGTCGTGAGTGAAAGAAAGAGGAAGAATCGATAGCGTCCCGAGCGAGAAATAGAGAAAGAGAAAAGGCACAGAGGCTGAGAGTCAGAGATAAAGAGACATGTTGAAAGATGACGGGACAGAAGACTGGAAATTGATTAGAATATATCGATCGTCCAAGAGTGAGGAAAGGTGAAAAGTACTAATATATATATATATATATATATATATATATATATATATATATATATATATATATATATATAAAGACATAGTTTAATATGTATATATATATATGGATATATATGAAGAAATATAATTTTAATGAGTGCTATATATATATATATATGTACATATATATATATATGTATATATATATATATATATATATATATATATATATATATATATATATATATATATATATATATATATATGACGAAACATTACGCGATCAACAGAAGGGTTATGCTTAATGAGGCAGAGAGAATAGAGAGAGAGAGAGAGAGAGAGAGAGAGAGAGAGAGAGAGATGATAATAGAAGGAAATTACACAGAGGGGGGGGAAATGAGCGATGAAGGTTTAAGAAAATGGGGAAAGCTAAATTCATTGGACGAGAAAGAAGAAATTTAAAAAAACTGTCGAGTGTCAATGAAAGTGACTTTTAATATTTAAGATTTTTATCTGACGATCAGCAAATAGATAGATAGATAGATAGATAGATAGATAGATAGATAGATAGATAATGGAGAGGCTTGGATAGATAGATAATGGAGAGTCTTTGATAGATAGATAGATAGATAGATAGATAGATAGATAGATAGATAGATAATGGAGAGGCTTGGATAGATAGATAGATAATCGAAAGGCTTGGATAGATAGATAGATAGATAGATAGATAGATAGATAGATAGATAGATAGATAGATAGATAGATAGATAATGGAGAGTCTTGTATAGATAGATAGATAATGGAGAGCCTTGATAGATAGATAGATAGATAGATAGATAGATAGATAGATAGATAGATAGATAGATAGATCGATAGATCGGGAGAATGTGAAATGGAGAATTACATAAAACTTACATAGGTACGAGAATCGAATGAGCGTTGTGAATGGTATTGGACATGGTGGGTGAAAGTCAATAAGAGATATGGAGGCGAGTGCGGAGTAATTTCAAAGAGGAGCGGAAAGAGACAAGAAGCAAATCAATTAAAGAAAATGGCTGGGACAAATGATTTTTTTCAAAAATATTCTAATTCTCATTTTTCATAACTTCGTCATTGAGAGGCATTAGGCTTTTATTAAGTGAAAGTGAATAAATAAGTTGATAGATACGCAATTTATTTACGTAAGTAATGTCTTATTTTGTTATATAACAGTGAAGATGATTTTAATTCTATCTGTCGAAAAATAGTATCTCTTCCTGACTCCACTACCAAATTCATGATTTCTGATATATATATTAAGTAATTCACCGAATTTAGAAGAATCTTCAACAGAATGTAGAAAGCCCTGGGCGACTTTTTAGGACTCATCAGCAATACGTATCCAATAGCAGAAGCGAATCCGGGCTGTTTTTATACGACGCAAGCGACATACCAACTAGACTCGGCGACGGAGAGGTAAATTGGAATCTTCTTTTTCTGTGACGTGTTTCGTCCTTCATTGGACTAAAATAAAATGTTTTCGTTGCTATAATTATAGCAAGATATGGACACGTGGCCGGGTGGTAAGAACGTTCGCATTCTGAGAATGAGCGCTCTGTTCGAGTCTCACCATAGTCGATTTGTCAGGAAGGAGACTTCCTGATGTTATCGAACTGGATTGGGGACGATCCCAGCGTGCGTCACCTTTGGAAAGTACCTGAAAATCATACCACAGGATAACCGAAGTCGTGTGAGTTAAATTGGGTAGAGAACCATAGCACGAAGTCACAAGTCATCGTGACCGAGGGATTGAGCATGCTAGCCTTGTTCAAATTGTTGATCACGCTAGATGACACGCTCTCTCTCCCCACGGCCTAAAATATAACTAAAGTCTGCTAAGCGTAGTTGCAGTATAAGCCACGGGTGGGCTCTGTGGGTGTTGAATAAACACAAATACGCCTGCAATAGTGAATGGCTAGCAGCCCTAGTAGACGGGTATCCTTGTATACGAGTGGCCAGCTATATATAGTAAGAGGACACAGAATATAAAAACGCAAAATTAGCTTACAACTAGCAGCATGGCCCGGCGTTGCCCGTGCTTGATTCAAAAGTCGTGCGACTCATACAACAATCGCTATCACTTGACTTCAAATATTTTTTCCCTTCCTTGCCTTTAAAGGGGTGCCCTTTGCCGTGCTGATATTTCTACATGCCTTACCTCTTGCCTATCTCACACTGCGAATTTTTTCTAAGCTCTATACTAAACATTAAATCTGTTACGAAAAAAGAACTAAACAAAATGAACACAAAACGATCAGCTTTAAAAAAGGACTCGTAACTGGAAAAACCGAATGAAAAAAAAAATGTTAACAACAAATACTTTTTCACACCCAACCCAGTTCTGCGGAATCAGAATCAACGATGAGTTTAAGCAAGTGAATGAGCCAATTGGAGTAAAGTGCCATGCAGATTTAAATTTTTCCCACTTGTGACGAATGCAGCCATCGATTTTTATTACATGCTAGCATGCTAGTTAACATTCGTGTCAGTCAGTTGTTGGCCCTCACGCTGGCCAATAGAATGTTTCTGCCTATTCATGGCAGCCAGCTATTGGCTTTCACTCTGGCCAGTAGAAAATGGCCGCAAACTACATGAAAACTGCCATAGAAGCATGAAAAAATCGAATATTTCCACTATCGATGGGAGTTGGGAAATGCAAAGTCGGTCTTGGCCTTTCCACTAACTTGGAGCATGTGCATGTAAATTTTAGTGCAAATCCGTCGAAAATTGCGGCCGTGCATTCGTTACACACACACACACACACACACACACACACACACATCTTGCCTTTTATAGATATAGATTATTCATAGACGGGGAATATATATGACAGATTCATATATAGGATACAATATTCCGGCGACAGTGAGTGAAAAATACATTTACTCATAGAAGGATACCTATAAATTCATATATATATATATATATATATATATATATATATATATATATATATATACACGGTGGAGTAACGGATAGCGGCTTGTATTGAGGAATCGAATCCACTCGAATCCATTACTTTCACTTACAACTTTGGGAAAGGTATGATTCCTCTTCTTCTCTCCTCAGCTATGGGTAAATAGCAGGACAGACTGGGTTCTATAGCCTTTGATGGCAACTGGTCTAGGAGAAGGAAAACTCTGAATACAAAAGCTGCAACAGGTTTCTGTATTCGGCACTTAAACAAGTGTGGTTCTTTCTGCACAAGACCTTCACCAATATAATCAAATCATATGTGCAGGTTTCTGGCTGTTAGTTCCTAAGTACTGAGTTGCTTGACCCTCTTACGTCGATAAATGACGACAGAGTCCAACATATATATATATATATATATATATATATATATATATATATATATATATATGATATTTGCCTGTATTTAGGCAGTAAATTGTCTTTTAGACATGTCTGATTAAATAAATTGCAGACATTATATCAGTTTATTTTGATCATAATCCGTTCGTATTCTGAGAAAGAAATGCATTGTAACAGTCAGAATCACTTTTATTTCACAAATACTTTCCATCTCTTTTTGAGATCATCATCAGGGATTCGATTACTATGTCCATTACTGAACTTTTTTTCAGTTGTGTTTAAATGCTATGGCTGAGAGTTATGCTTTATCGTTCCTTACTATGTGAAACGATATACAGGATGGATTTTTTTAGTTTATGTTGGAAGTTCATGATCGGGTGCGCATTATAGTGAGAAAATTGTTCTTTTTATAGGCATTTTAGAACATTATTGCAGTATTCGTAGATGATTCTATTTAGTGTCAGCTCAAAGATAAAATAAGCAGACATAATGTTTTTAATTTATTCAATCAGATATATATATATATATATATATATATATATATATATATATATATATATATATATATATTAAATTAATTGATTTAAAATATATTTTTCCACATTACAGTTCCAACCATGTTTCAAAAATAGAAGCTAAAGCCCTGAATTTAATTTTGCAATTAAATTATGAAATGTAACTAATGCTTTTAATTTAATTGCAAAATTAAATTCGGGGCTTTTAGCTTCTATTTTTGAAACATGGTTAGAACTGTGTAGCGGAAAAATATTTTAAATCAATTAATTTATAATATTATGCTCTGTAAATTTACATTGAGCACTATTTTTTAAAAATAAAAATATCTATAAGAACACCGGATTATATATCTTACTGTTCTTTCTTTTATATATATATATATATATATATATATATATATATAACTGTTGGGAGATCAACTGATAAAACACCTGACGATACCGTGAGGTTGAAACCAAGGTAACGAAATCAAATGATCTTCTAATTTTTAAGGTTATGTTATATACCGTACCTATGAACACTAATGCTCATAAATATTTTGGACACGTCGGGGTAATATGCTGTCTACGTAGTCCATCACTAGCAGTGGTTTACCTACTTCACGCCGCTGGCGAGTATTGTATTTTGTTGATGTTATAAAGATTACCATTTCATTTCCAACCTCGATTGTGGTTATTCTTCTCTCAGTAATCTTTTCTAGGTTACAAAAACTGCTAAGAATAGATTTTTAAAAATAGGTTTTTCCTTTTTATTATAAAAATTTCTCATATGGTCTAAAAGTACTATTTAGAGTAATTCATGTCATTTAAAATTACTGTATATATATATATATATATATATATATATATATATCTTGTATATTTTTATTTTTTTTATCTTTGTATATCTGTCTGTCATATATTGATTCCAATTAATAAAATATTAATAAAATGTAGTCTGACGAGATGAATATAGTTATATTCAGTGAAATAAATATATTACTGTTTACCGTATCTGGGAACACTAATGGGTATATCCCAATCCTCATAAATCCGTTGGACACTATTGTAAGTGGGTGTAATATGCTAAGTAATTCACCATTAGCAGTGGTTTACCTTTTTCACGCCGCTAGCGAGTATTCTATTATTGTTGATGTTATAAAGATTACCATTTCTTTCCCAACCTCCGTTTTGGTTATTCTTAATTTAGTAATCCTTTCTATGTTACAATAGGTTAAAAGCTCTACATGTTATTTTTTAGTTTTATTTTTCATACGAGTATTCACACTTTTTAATACTAATGTTCCTTGCTCCAATTCAAACATGACAATTAGACATTTATGTACTATATATATATATATATATATATATATATATATATATATATATATATATAAATCTTGTGCTTGTATTCGCTTTTTAAATCGAAGGAAAGTTAAAATGAATATCTTTTCACTATGCGTATAACCATCCATTATGTAATGTTCCATTAAACATGGCGCCTAACGTTTAGCCGAGTTTAATCCAATCGAATGTCTTTCATGGCTACGTCATTGTGACGTAAGTTTTGGTGGAAAGGATAACATTAAAAATCAATTATAAAACGAATACAATTTTCTTCAAATCTTTGCTATGAATGCAAATATGTGAAACGTAAGCTTTGTCGGCAAGAGAAACTAAACGCCAGCTCACAATCACTCCACCTTTCGATAAAAAGAAATAACTATAAACATCAAGATGTCTTTTTATATTTAATATATATATATATATATATATATATATATATATATATATGGTAGGTGTGTGTGTGCAGGTGTGTGTTTGTACGAGATTGTGTGCGTTGTCTCCATACAGCAATATATATGTACGCAGACGAATAAAGAAAACTTATTTATTTTACATTTTTTTTTTTTTGTTAACAGTATTTTCGCCTGAGAAAAGCACTTAGTTAACTGGTTAAATTTAATCATATAGATTGAACAATTATATTTTTACAATTCTCCGCTCTTAATATTGATAATAAAAGTATCGGGCTACGGACTTACTGATCAGTCTACACACA